CTGGAATATACTCACAGAGTGAGGGCACTAATGTGCCTAAACCGACCATGAACGAACAAAGTGAAGTGAATTATCGGAGGGAAGAAAATTTTTATCTAGTATATAGAAAACAGAGTTATGGATTCCTAATCCATCATGCAGAAAAACTCAAAAACAAGATTACCTCCAATGAAACTTTTCCTTATGGATATGGATAAGGCTACAAAGCATGCTTCATCACGCTGTATTGGGCATCCAGCAATGTCATGGCCATTCGCTAAGCTAGTTACAGAAAAAAGTGGCACAGGTAAGACTAATATACTCGGAAATCTTGTTCTTGGTGACAAAGCTGAATGTATATATAAAAAAAAAAGGGTGGATCTAGATATATACGGTGTGATGATTTGATAGTTTGTGGATACCATCCTGATGAACCAAAATGGGCTTTCGTCAGATATATGTATGGAATAATTGCAAGTAATCCAAGAGCATCATATTACGAAAATATTAGGTTTAGTTATATCTCACCTGAAAAAATTCATAGTGTAAAATCTTTCTTCCCCAAAAGAAGTACTGTTATTATTTTTGAAGATTTATGTGTTGCCCCTGAGTCTATACAAAATCGAATTATCCCATTTTTCACACATAGACATCATCGGAATATTTCACCTATATTTATCACACAAAAATACCATCATGTCCCAATGATCATACATGAGAATCTTTCTCATATATTAATGTTTAACGGTGGTAGTTCTCCTCAAGATGTTTCCAAAATTGTTAGTCAGTATACTGATGATGTAAAAAGTGCATCAATGGTCATTAATAGCTATCTTTGCAAGAATGAGTTTATTGTATTTGACCTTAATAGAGCAGAGGACAATCCACTTGCAATCCGGTTGAGGTTCGATACCCTATTAGATTTGCAGAAAGAAATAGAGTTACGTTAGAAGCGTAAGACAAAAAATGCATTACCTACGGAGCCCATGAATTCTGAACCTGAAAAATCAGCCACATAAGTGTCCTGCTTCGCAGAAATGAAAAGTCTATAGTGTTATAGTATGCACTTCATAGATTTTTATTCACTTCGTGCATACCCAATTGTGATGAGTCAGAGACTCGTGGCTTATTGTGAAACAATGGCACTTATGTGCCTCCCACTCTCAAGAATAGCATTAGGAAAACGGTGGACAACTACCTTTCTACAAAAAATATTATATTAATAAATCGATTTTATTTATGTTTTAAGTTTTAAAAGACGCTCTTGAAATCTATTCCGTAATTGGTTTTTCTTTCTACCTATCCAATCGTATAGAATAATATATTCCTGATATCTACTAATTTCAAATTCAGCAATATATAGAAGTCTATTATATTTTTTTATATACTCGCCATATTCCTTATTAAGACGTATTTTAATTTGATCTAGGGAGATTGGGTTTTTCACTTTGTGAGGAGTTAAACCCAGAAATTTTTTCTCATTGGGAGTGTTATCATTTGCCAAACTGTTCCAAGCAATTCATGCATTT